AAGTGCAGAAAAACGGCCAGTGGGAGGGTTTGGCAAATAGAGTGGTGCAGTGGTTTAGACACTAGCTTTTTCCACATGGAATCTGTATCAAATCTAGACTAACCTGACATCTCAAAGTCACCTCTGTCTGTAAACTTGTAAGGGAGATGCATGAAATGATTTTGGAAACTCTCAATTCAATCTTAAAACTGTTCCTAATTGGAAATGCAATATTTGGCAGTTTTCCTCAATGAAGCCAAAGAATGATTGGTGTAGGAGATAGAAATAATGTTACATTGATACAGTAAGAGATTTTCCTCTACGGCTGGAGCTGTGGCATTTTGTCAAGACAACATAAGGAATTTTGTTTGGTATCTTACACTGCTTTATCTGATAAAAGTGTTTCATAGCTGTGATGTGGGAAGAGTTCCATTCCCTTAGCATTCACATCTTCATTTTGTAGAGTGAGAAAGAAATGTCGCAAATTTCTATCAAGAACATAAGAACCAGGATCAGGAGTAGGCAATTCAGCTCCCTGAGCTTGTTCTGCATTTTGAAACAAGCATGGCTCGTCTCATCTCAGCCTCAACTCTACTTTCTCCACAACCCTTCTACCCTTTACTAATTAAAAATCTGTCAAATTACACAAAGTCACAGCATCCATTGGACAACGGCGTAGTGAATTCCATAGATTCATGACCCTTTAGAGAAGTAATTTCTCCTCATCTCTGTATTGACTACAATATCGAGATTAGTGACTCCACAGCTTCTGAAGTTTTGTAAGGAGAAACCACTGATCAGAATATTGGATAGTGTATCAGAACACCAGTGTAAATTGGGATGTGACTTTGACTCCATAATCTCTCACATGGTTGAGTCATCAATCTCAGCATGAAATTGTAGTACTATGTACTTTTATTCAAATCAATCTGCACAAATTACTTTCACAATGAACTCCACCAAGTTTTACAGTTGAGGATTGATTTATGGAGCACTGCAGATGTCCAATGATTTTATTGGACTATCATGTCTTAAACATGTCAAAAATGTAATAGGTAATTTTTAAAATATGTAATATATATAATTTTGTAAGATTCAATTACTAGGAATTAAATTCTGCCAGTTTCTATATGGCCCTCTTGGGCAATTG